ACGTAATCGCAACAGTGCTAAAAATATTACCGAATTAAAAAATGTTTAGTGTTATTCTTAATAGATACAATCGTATCTGTACGCGTTTACAATTACAAAACGAATTTAATAATGTCTCTCTCTCCATCCCTCTCTCCCCCTCTCCCTCCCCCCTCTCTCTCTAACTTTCTTTCTCTGTCTAACACATGCACAATAACAATGTGCATTATTATCATTAGTACTATATTATTTCTTTAAACTTTTCGACAGATATATATATTTAGAACGACAACTAAGGCAACATGAATTTAGCACAGATAAGTAATAGGGTAATATTTATTCTGACAATAGCTGTTCTTAATAGTGAAGAACAAAACAATTTCAACATTTCGAAATACATACATTTTCCTCATTATTACGTGATACCAGTGCACTACTGCATACAGCTCGACTACATAAACCCAAATTATGAACCCACTGATAAACTTGATAACATTTGGAAAGAGATGTTTGATTTCAAAAATGAATATGACTCATTTCTCTTTCGCGGTAGAACTAGTGCAACTATTAATATCCTACATTCGACTGACTATATAGGTTTAAATCAACTAAATCTGATAATAGGTCTTGCGAATATAACTTTGACTACAAAGAACGCCATAATTTACGTAATGGGTAAATACATATACAGAAAAAAAACGAACGCATTAGGATTTCTTTTAGACTATATATTACTTCCCGGACTCTACACATTCAAAATACAATTTTTTGGTCATCTAATAGAAGACAGTTTCTTTAAAAATGTTTCCAAAGGAAATATGGTAACGTGAGTAAATTATAAATGGTTAAAAATATACGTATACAAGATGAGATTTATAATTATTTCTTATTTTCTTTCAAAATGTAATTCATACCAATTTTTAATGATATTGTTTGTATTCAATCAAATTATAAACATTCATTGTTGTATTTAAAATATAATAATTATTAAATTCTAATAGATTGTTGATAGCCCCATACATTCAAGAACGGAATGGAATGAGACAGTTATTTCCTTGTTGGGACCAACCGCAATTAAAGGCCACTTTTAACATTTCAATAAAATATCCTATGTTATATTCAGTTTTATCAAATATGCCGACAGATACAAAATACCCGTACTACACAAATTATAGTGATTTATTTCACAAATACTTCTATATTACGCCTCCAATGTCGACTTTCCAAATTGGGATAGTCATGACTGAGTATCAATCCATTAGAGTTAATAAAAACATTACTTTGTGGTGCGATTGTTATTCAAAAGAGCGTCGTCAGAAATTTGAGTTTGCACGGAGAATCATAAACAATATTACATTGCAGTTAAAATCTGAATTTGGTGGGATAAATATTCCAAAAATGGATCACATTGCGATTCCAAATTTTCCACAAGACGGCATATCGAAATGGGGGCTCATATTTTATTCGTAATGCATACATTTCAATATAAAATATGTTAAACGAAAAAATAATTTGCATTTATTTAAACATTTAAAAGTTTAAAATTGAATAAATTATATATTTAATGACTATTATTATCATACAAGGTGATTCGTGTACAATTTATATTTTAAAATAAATATAGAATAATTGTAATTGTATTTCTTTTCTAAAATCAATTGTGTTTTTTTCATGAACTGTGCATAAAAATATCAGAATATGAGTATAAGGAAATTATCAGTTGCGAGATTTTTCACATTATTCCAATATACGATAGAATAGAAACCATTACATATTTTGTACGTTACATTGATATTTTAATAATTCGTCTTGAATATCTCAAAGTATAAAATAGTTCATGTATAAATAACTAAAATAATCTATATGATTGAAAATATATACAGACTATTTAAAAAATAAAAGCGATTAGAAAATGTCTTTTCGCTTCCATAAGTAACCTTGATAATTATACCGAATCAGAGAGCCTTTCCCTGTGACACCAAATGTCAGAGTCAAGTTTTGCGCTGGTTTACCTATTTAGTTTATTCACCGTAACCTATTTTATTATGCGATATCTTCTCCGGAGACTAAACATCTATACTTATAAAAACACTTTCATATATTTTTATAAATTTTATTCACAACTGCATCTGTCACATTACACGAATTACATTGTATATCAAGTGATAGACATTTATTATACTTTATTAAGAAACACGAAAAGCAAATCCACATTCCATAACAAAATTAATAAGGAAAGTGTATCTTTAACGAGATATTACATTCAACATTAATGTCAAACTGAATATAATAAAATGCAAATAATTTGATCCTATTGTAATTTACGATATACATAATTATATATAATTTATAATATCAAATATCTTGTACACATTATTAAAAACAAAGAAAAGTGTAAAAAAAGTGTTACGTTTTATTTAAAAAAGAACCATAAAAACGTATAGCATGTTAGATTAATTATAACACTGTTTAGGGAAGCCAATCTTATTTATGATGAAACATTGGATCCAGTTATGCGCAAAATGGAAATTGCACGTTTAATAGCACAAAAAATAGCATATCAATGGTTTAGTAACCTCCTCAGTTCAGATTGGTCTTATTTGTGGTTACACGATGCTCTTGCTACTATATTCGGAGAAGAAGCTGTTGTTAAGGTTTTTCTATTTATTAATATCGCAATATGAAAGAGGGGTGATCCCGATCGACCACGGCTCGATAGGGCCGTCAATCAGAGCGACCTGTGCTTAGGAGCTTTGTAGTCTCAAACGCTGTGAATGGCTCGTGTCTAATTGAGCCGTGTCCAACTGGGTGCCACTCCAAAATCTATATATTATGTGATTATGCAACTTTAATTTTAGAGCTTCAATAATTCTGAAATTTTGGATCTCTTCATAATTCAAAATCAATACGAATCTCTTCATCTGGATTCTCATTTTAATATGAATCCTGTGGAAATCACTAGATCATCGGACATTAATTCAATTTTCAGTTTTCCTCGTTATATGAAAGGTGAAAATAATTAAATAACCTTTTAATAGAAATTTATATACGTACATATATTATAAAAGAAAAGGCAGGAAAGATTAGTTGGAAAAAATTCAGTTACGATGTATTAATATATTTCTTATTATAGCAATAATTGTTTTACGGATGTTCCAAAGTGCTATTACCGATGAAATGTTTCGAAATAATGTCCATGCATATGTAAGCAGACAGTGAGTGAAGATAATGCAAAAATTAATTATATACTTGTACGATATACATGTATGTGTGTGTGTGTGTGTATCTGTGTGTGTATGTATGCGTGTGTGTGTGTGATTGTGTTAAATATATATAACAACTCTTATAGATTATTAATGTTTTAAACATTTTCATAATATTTGCAATATTTTATAAT